AAGAGCCAACATTTATAAATTATCTGCCAAAGTGTGGTGTCCAAATCTTCAAAAGGGAGAGAAGGAGGAGTTGTCTTTCTTGAGAGGGGTGGGGAATGGTTTCAGAACTCCATATTCTGCCTAGAGAATTACTCATTCAAAGAACTGGACAGGACCTACGGCTAGGAGGATACCTTGAAACCTGTGGAGGGGTTGTCAACCTAGTCCTAAAAATAGTATCAGCTTCAAGCATACACTGCATATTTAAGAAGGTGCAAATCTTCCAAAGTCAGGCTAAGTCTTTAGGGGGTCTACCAATCTGACAAATGTTTTCATTCGAGTCTCTCACTAGAAGTAGGATTGATAGGTACCACTAGCGACCATAGAAGGCCATGCTGGAGGGGAAGTCATGTTGAAATTCTTGATGCTATCTTCAGTTTATAGTCCTACCACAAACTATGGATCAGGAACAAAAAACACGCTAGCTGGAAAAAACTTCCTGTCCACCTTGTTTGTTTTTATTTAAAAGAAAGTAGATCTTTACCTATCTGCCAGAGCTACAGGAACCTACTTGGCTGCCAAGAGTAGGTGACTTCAATGCCAAAAATGATTGAAATATCTTGTAACCTTTTTCATGGTTGGATAGACTTTTTCATTTAAATTTCAACTGATGTAGTAGAGAGCATGTCCTATATCCATCCACAAACTGGGCAATGACTTATAGTGGACCTTAGGTTTTTATGGAGTTGAGAAAATACATTCGAACACGTGAGGTGATCAATAGGAGCTTGTTTATCAATCTTGTCTAATGTGTTTCACGCTAGCCAATCAGAGTTGGTGAGATCTGTGCTACCTGAAATTTCAGGATCAAACTGAGGTAGCCAAAATTCCCCAGAAAGTTGTGAAAAAGGTAGTTCTGAGAGACCATAGGAACAACAGTCAAAGGGGAAAAAGATGAGTCCTTTGACTGAAAACAGAAACCTCTGTTCTCTCCACCATAGCTGAAAGGTAAGGGGTACTTCAATATTGGTTCTTCTCCCTTTAGGAACTTTCTTGGCATAGGTAGTAAAGGTAGGAGCTGGACTTTCCAGGCCACAAGAGTCCAGTTTATTCAAAGGAAATTGTAAACAAGAAAGAGGAGAAAGGTGAGAGAGTTATAAGAAACAACTCTTTGAACTGATTTAATAAGAGTGGTAAGACTTTATTAGCATAGAAGTATAAAACTTTTTGCGAATATCTTTTTTGTGTGTAGTCAGAGGATCAGTGGAAAGAGATTTGATTTTTAGCAAATAATTTTTGATTTCTATTTGATATTGATGTATTTTACTATTAATTGTTACTATATTTTACTAAATATATATTATAGGTTTGATTATTTCTTATTATTATTTGATAATATAAAAAATTTTTTACTATTTGTTGTAATGTATTGATAATATAGTCAATACTCCCTAAATGCATACTCTCTAAATGTACACTCTTTCTAAATGCATAATATTCTGTGGTTCCAATCTTGGGACTTAGTACTTAAATATACTCTCTATATTCTGTACGTGTAATAGATTTTGACAATTCCATCTATATGAGAATAATTTTTTAAATGCATACACATGATATTAATTACAAATTTGTAAGTAATATTAATATTGTCATACATTGAATAAAATTTTAATTGATACATTAGCATAATATATATCATCGATTTTAAACTTTGAAATTATATACAAATATATAACATTAATCAATAAAAGTACTATACTTCCAAAAATAAAGATTACTTAAACAGATATCCAGAAGTATGAATTTTGTCTGTATGCTCATTACAATTCAAGAAATATGCTAACTGGATTGAAAACAAATGAAATGTTAGGACTAGCAAATCTATAGTATCACGTATTCTTTAACAAAAAGATAAGCAACTTTCAATTGAGATTAATATGCCAAAAGCAAAGAAACATAGATCAGTCATGTTTTCACAACTTGAACAAGCTCTTAAAGAGTTTGTATTGATATATCAGTATCAAGTGGTATTAAGTAATATTGTATTAATTGAATATGTCAAATCATTAGCAAGTAAATTAGAGATCCCTGAAGGTGCATTGAATTTCTCTGTTGATTGACTTCAGAAATTCAAAAAGTATCATTCTATTTACCAAGCTAAACTGCATGGAGAACAAGCATCTGTTGATTTGACAGCAGTTTCTGAGATTTTATCACAATTGTATAATATATATAGTAACTATCCACCTGAATGAATTTATAACATGAATAAGACAGGACTTTTTTATTGGTAAATAAATATGTCTTTATAAATAGTTTAATGCAAAAATATAATAAATATTATATTAATTTTTATAAACTAGAGCCAGATAGAACACTAGCTACTTAACATCTTACCAGTCACAAAAAAGATAAAAAATGTCTTTTTATCGTACTTTGTGTAAACTCTGATGGATTACATAAATTAGATCCACTAGTTATTAGTAAATATGCAAGACTACATTGTTTTAAAAACATTAGTCTTTATAACCTACCAATAACATATCAAAATAATAATAAGGCTTGGATACTTATATCTTTATTTCAAGAGTGGATCCAAAATTTTAATAAATAAATAGCGATAAGTATGGAGATAATTGTGTTTTTCTTTTTTTAGATAATTGTTCAAGCCATAAACTGGAGAGTTTAAATCTTCAATATGTCAATATACATTTTTTTTCACCTAATATAACTGCTAAGATCCAACCTTTGAATAGTGGAATTATAATGATTTTTAAAAAAAATTATCATTATTATCAAATTCAGTATTGTATAATGTATTCTTGTTAAAAGTTAAAAAAGAATTTAATATTAATATTATATTTTATTTATAGCTGGATATTAGAGCAAGTTAAAACTGGATAAAAAATAAAACAATAGAAAATAAATGTTCTTCAAACTATTTAATATATTAGTAAAGCATGGGAAGAGATTATACCTAAAACAATTTATCAATGCTGGCAACATACTAACATTATTCCTAAAACTGATAATGTCAACTTATAAACTATTCCTAATGGTATCCATGTGATTAATGATTTGGTTCTTAATGAAATCTGCAGAACGCTCAAAAATCTTAATCTTTCGGAGTCAATAGAAATTGAAGAATTTCTTACGGTTCCTGAAGAAAACATTGTTTATGAGATTCTAGATAATGAACAAATAGTTATAGAGCTTGCTGAGATTTTTAAAAACAAAAATAGTAATAATTTAGAGAATACGAATGACAGTATTAAAACAATGGTTATTAGTGCAAGTACTGCATTAAAAAGCCTGGAAGCTATATATGCATTCTTATTGCAACAAAAAAATATGAAAGATCAATTGAAGTATGTAAATATTTTAGAAAGATATATTAGAGAAAAAAAGATTAGTTCAATGCAATAGTTGAACTTAAACCAATATTTCAAATAAAGGTTTATTTTTAGTAGCAAAATAGTCTTAAATAGTTTCTTTTCATTTTAGCTATAGTCTATTTGTGACATTATTATTTGTATACTGTAAATAGACAAGCATGACAGACAATAAAGAGATATTTAACCTGTTGAACCTGGAATTGGAAAAAGAAGAAAGTCAAGTCTTTGTTTTGTCTTACACAGTAGTTCTATTATTCTAGGGTGACAAAGTATATAGAAATCCTACAAAGAAGGCGAAAAAGGTACAAGGGTTGACTGGGATATATGAGATACAGGAAAAAGAAAAACAAAGAAGCTTTGGCCTAATCTTTAAGCCTTTTTTGGAAATGAAAGTTAATTAACCGGCAAATCATAATAAAAGTTTAGCGACAGACTTGCTGTTTCGACCGCCAACAACTTGATAATTGACTGTGAGATAGAATAAAAAGTGATATGAAAACTGTGGATTCTAAGTGAAACACTTAATTACTTCCAAAGTATTAATGTAGCAAAGAAATATATATTAAAAAAAAAATTGTATTCAAAATTGTGTTTATTTCAATAAATAATTTATTGTAGTGCCCTTTTATTTTTATTTATTTTTACATCTATAAAAAAAAAAAGAAAAAAGCAATGATAAATGACATAGAAAGTATTTTCAAGTGGCGAACTCTAGGAGATTACCTTGATATAGAAGGAAATGAATAAAATGAAGAAGTGAATAGGAATGAATAAAGCTAAGTCAAAGAAGTTATGTGGTAAAAAGAAAGAAGAGCTCTCTGCCAAATGAGAATATGGCTAAGAAAAGTTTGCCTCAAGGTAACCATACTATGGAGAAGAGCCCTTCGTCCGATATAAGTATGGCCAAGAAGAGTCAACTATTAGGCAAAGTTACTTCCGAGAAGAGCTCTCCATCCAATATAAGTATGGCCAAGAGAAGCCAACTGTTTGACAAAGTTACTTCTGAGAAAAGCCCTCTATCGATATGAGCCCACTACTAAGCAAAGTTACTTTCATGAAGAGCCCTTCATCTAATATGATTATAACCAAAAGGAACCCACTACTAGGCAAATTTACTTCAGTAAAAAACTCTCTGTCAGAAGAAATTATGGCTGAAAGGAGTCACAACCTTACTTCCGTGAGGAGCCTTTTGTCAAATACGAATATAGCTGTGAGGTGCCTACTAAAGTATATGACTACCCTTGTGAGAAGCCCTTGCCAAATGCAAATATGACCATGAGATATCTACTGAAATATATGACTATTTCTGAGAAGAGCTCTCTGTTAGATACAAGTATGATCGTGAAGAGTTCACTGCTAGGCAAAGTTACTTTTACAAAAAGTCTCTCACTAGAAAAAATTATGGTAGGAAGGAGCCTGTCACTAGATATGTATGTTGTGAAGAAGTTATCCAAGAGAATAAGGAATTCTACAAAAGCAGAATTAGTATGACTGATGGAATAATTTGTCATATAAAAAAGAGTATAATAAAGATATGCTAAGGTGAAAAGAATCGAAGGGGAGTTATAGAAAAAGTAAAATGAAAGCAATGTATCAAACGCAAATTGAGAACTTGTCCAATGATATGAATGCAGTGGATGATCAGGATTTAATGGTTCAAAATAGAAAGGATGAATTAAATAGTATTTATTACCTGATGCAATCCGAGGATTCATCCAATGATGTGATACCAAAGATAATCAAACAGCTATTATGGCATCAAGTGAAAGAAAGCTAGTAGATAGAGACAATAATGATTAGTTCAAGGGAAGTAACTTTGGAAACAATAATAAGGTGAGAAAGGATTTTATTAATAGGGACACAGATCGGGAAGTTCAAATAGCATTAAATAAGAAAGTGTTTTATATTGATGATGGTTACATAGCCAAGGAGTGATCTGGCAACACTGAAATTAGAAACAGTGAGGTTAGATATATCATAAAGTGTCAAATATAAGATAACAGTAACAAGACCAACCCACACCTGTAGCAATAATTAAGGTAATTTTCAACAATACCAGTATCAAGAAGGATTCGAACAGATTCAAACATAATATACAAGTAGAAAAGATACTGATAGATAAGAATGAAGAATATTATATAAAAAAAGTAGACTTAATGACGTACTTGATAAAAACTGAAAATTCGTCTGATGATGATAAAATCAGGAATAGTCAGTATTGGTCTATTATCGAAAAATTAATAAGTAATAGAAAAGGCATATATTGTAATAACGATAATGAAATATTAGCAAGAGTAGAAGCACTTAGGCAACATTTTGATTCTCGAAAATTACAGCAATTGGAAGAATACTTGTGATACTTTGACTTACAAAAATTGCAGCAGACAAAATAATTATGGCAATCTTGCAATTGACGAAAATTAGAAGAAATGAGTGAATGTTAGTAAGAACTATGAAAAATAAATGTATTATGGTGGTGTTTCTGTTACTATGTATCAGATAAGTTTAGGTTAGAAGTGATGTCTGAAGTATTTAATTTCTCGGGTTCAGATAATCATTTGCAAAATTATTAAGTCTATAATGGTATCATGGAACTTACAACATGCACTAGGTTAGGTAAAAAAATTTGGACAAACCATTAAATCTTGATGGAAGAAAAATCAATTTTGAAATGGTGAAAGCTTGGAGAAACATCTATAATCAGGATAACAAAAACAATGAATACAACTAGGCAATATGTAGTAATTATACAATTGGAAATAATAGGGAAAATATGCAACAATTGGACAGCTGCTTAGCAAGAGCATGGTATTATAAATTTTTTTTTTTTAAAAGTCCAACTGACAGGACGAAACTTTTATTAGTATTCAGTAGAATTAGATTACATGAGCAATTCATATAACCTTTTTTTTAAAACTATCTATTCTAACTAAATTCATCAATTTTATCACATAGTGATACCATTTTCACCAGTTGCATTGCTCTGTCTGGGACTTTAGCATTCTGAAGATCAGCTATGGACTTTCTTTCATTGTTAATCTTCAGAGGACTTGTAATTGTGTGTTTCTTTAGTAGATTTGTATTTTACTTAATGATTATGGATATCATAGATGATCCCTATCATGTTTGGGTTCTCCGCAGGCTTAGTTGAAACTTAGATAGCCCAGTTCTCTGGTTATGATCTTGATATCCAGGTGATTCAATGGTGTTATGTCATTGGGTGATATATAGCCTTCTATTGCCTCATTTTTAATCACTCTTGTAAGTTAATCTTGCAGGGGTATTCCTTGATTACTTTGTAGTGGATTGCTCCTTCCATTGAATTGATTATCTTGATAATTGTTTTTGAATTTCTTCTCCTAGGGTCTACCCCTGCAGGTTTTTCAACATGCGCTAATGCTAACCACCAGCCTCCACAATATCTGTTCTTTTTGATAACCATTGGTTTCATAATCCATTGAGATCTTCTATTAATTGTGTTATAGCCTATTATGTTTTTGATAGGTGCAAATGACTGAAGTCTCTCTTATCTTCCATGGAGTGTAGTTTTGATAAGAGGTGAATGTTTTTTCCATTTCTGTTAAAAAGCTTGAACTGATTGGCATTTTTCCTGGCTTGTCTTGAATCCTTACATATTCCAGGTGGCAGGTTTATCAAAGATTTTCTTAGCACTAAAACCTGGCCAAGACTTAGATGACTTGAGTTTTTACATCATAATCGGACGGTGAAAATCTATTGGTTATTTATGAGTACAAGAGTGCATATAGTGATAAGCATATATCTTGTACAACATAACCAATATGTTGCGGAAACTGTTCCTAGGTGGGATTGAACCAATAACTTGTGGATAGTGCCCTGGAAATGCACTCACTGCACTATTGATCCACAGGTCTATAGTATTATAATTGATTGTATTATTATAAGAAAAGTTATTGATTTTAGTGGATGTAACAATAGTTCAGTTAGTCCTCCTAATAATAGTGAATAACAAGATAGTGAAGAAATAAAGAGCATATATTAGATTTCATAGAGAATGTATTCTGTTATTCAAGCAATATAATCGAGAGAAATAAGTACTATACTATTACAAACAAAACAATCTCAAGTGTACAAAGTGCAAAATATTGGCATAAGAATCAAAGAAAACAGAATCAGTTTAAATTTATAACATAAATCAAGGGAATTTGTTCATGACCTTCTCCAATTATGATAATATATGTTGAGATAGGAAAACAGAAAGCATGTGACAATTTTCATTGAAGGCACATTCTTTACTACTTGGGTTATGCAAAGGAAAAAGAAATCTATTATAATGATACGAGTAATAGTACTCTGGGTAGTGGTATATGGCATATATCACGGATGTCAAGACAGGGAGAATAATGTGCTTCTGATGAAATCTTACAATATAATGTAATAGCTGTGAAGGATAATAAGACAAGCCTAAGTCTATAGAATAAACTAAGGACTTATCCAATGATAATGGAATCAAAGATAATGATAGTCTGCCTATGTTTGTAATATAAGATAGGAAGTTGTATATGTCTAGGATGGGGCAAAAGAGAAAAAAATTAGTGATCTTGCAATATAATGTAATAGCTGTGAAGGATAACAAGTGGCAAGACAAGACCAAGTCTGTGGCACAAACTGAGAACTTGTTCAATGATAATGGTACCAAAGATAATAGTAGTCCACCTATGTCTGTAATATAAGATAGAGAGTTGTATGTGCTTAGGATAGGGTGAAAGAAAAAAAGATTAGTGACGACACATAACTATCAAGAAATCAAGAAAGTAATATAATGAATGAATTGAGTAAAATACATTTCCTATAATCCTGGTGGACTTTTTTGTAGTTATATTTGTGAGAATCAAAAAATAATGTTTAGCAAAGTGGAAATTGAAAAGCACCATAAGCATGTCATGAGAATGATTCAGTTTAGTAATATGGACAGTATGTTATCAGTACCAAAAAATTGTTATAAAGGATAATACACTAAACAAAAGAGACAAGCAATTGAAAATAATCACAAAACAAGAATAGAGGAACTGCAGATAATCAATAATAACTGTAAAACCAAGAAGATGAAATAGAAATTAAAATTAAATGTATATATTTTATTTGATTCCAGAGGATCGGTTACAAACCATACCTGAAAAATTCATAATATCCAATATTAGAAAAATCATGATAAAACCTTTGTCACAGACGTTAAAGATAAGGTGTGGGGAAATATAAGTGATAAAATTGACTGTACATTATGTAATTTTAAAGTAATTTCACCTGACTTTGCAATGGTTATAATGGGTTAAGACATTAGGATAGCTTATTTTTAGTTTAGCCATTTTGACTGCCAACAATATGCTGAAAATTCTATCATAGGAATGTGTTACTACTTCATAAGTGCATTGTTCTTTAAATGCATGGCATCATACTCTCAGTCCCGAAGTGTATATTTAGGAAGTGTCAACTATATTTATTATATATATATATATATATTATAATAATATTGTTAATATTATTGACTGATCAATAATAAACATATAAAATTATGAGATTATTGATAATTAACTTGTATAAATATATTAAAATATATTAATATTGTTTTTTTAATATGTCTTTTGAACATATTATGAAAATTATACATGTTTATATTTGTTTGTTTTTTTTTTTTTTTTAATCCGCCATCAAGCTAACATGGCTTATCTTTATTGTGTATTTAAAATATTATACAATTTCAAAGATTTTCACATGACTACTCACCCATCTTAGAAGTTTAACTTCTCTAGATGCAACTTAGGAGATGATATTTTGCTCTCTTAATAACTTTGATTATCCTTTAGCTATCAAGTTCATTGCTTACAGGTCATCACTGTAAATACATGTTTATATTTGTATAATATAATATTATTAAAATATTGTTATTATGATATATATATTTTTTTGTTATGTAGTCAATAAAACTTGGATGTTTCTCTAGATTTTATGAGTATTTGAACTTAAACTGGTTTATTAGTTTAAGTTATTGTTTATAAAGATTCTTTTGGTATTTAAAAAGTTATTGACCTATACTAATCTAATTAAAAGTCTTATAAAATTAATATTGAACTTTCAAGAACTTATTGTGATTCAGTTTTTCTTTTTGACTTTTTCTTTATAAAAAATTTTTTTTGTAATAAAAGTTAGTGATTTTATAAAATTTATCTCTTTTATACTCTATAAAGTATTTTTGAACTTATTTTTTATAAGTTGTTTAGTTATAAAGATAGTTTTATTTATTTTTTATAAGTTGTTTAGTTATAAAGATAGTTTTATTTATTTTTTCAAATGATTTCTTTTTTTTTCAAAAAAGTAAATTTTTGAAAAAATCGGGAATCAATAAAAAGAGTTTTGCATAATAATAAATAATTACTATATATAATTTAAATCAATAATAATAATAATAATAATAATAATAAACAAAAACTTATAGGTCTATATTATAGTGATAGTGCTTCCTGGTCATAACCACAAGATCCAGAGTTCAATATTATATATAATTCATGTGTGAAAAAATAATCAAGTTACATAAGAATGGAACTTCTGATCTCTTATTGATTATCAAACTAAAATAGATCTACTGCAAGGATTACATAAAGAAAGGTCTTTGATCTGGTTATATAATTTATATCCAACTATTCTCTCCTAAATTGAACAGGAATTAAAATTCTAGGACCCACTTTTAAAACCATGATAATCATCTGAACATTATATAATCCCTCCATCCTAGTAATTTTCAAGATCCTATTATTCTAGCTCAAGATATTTCAATCTAATACTCTGCTTAATTAAAAGTCTGTTAATAAGAACTGACCTATATCACAATTGGTAATAAAGAAGGTGATATGTTTCCTTCTGAGATCTGAACAAACAATATCTGAAAATATTGGAGTGTATACAATTCCATTAGGTATATATGAAAAAAGGACTAGCTTAGTATTCATAATTAAATTATAGTTTATTACTAACTAGCTTAATAATACCATTGATAACTATATATTAACTATTCAGCTCTCTAGTTAGTTATGCCCACTTTCAGAATAGTAGTAGGTCTAATTAAGGAAAATTGCAATAGATTATCATCAATCAGTATAAATATAGAAATATATAATTTGTATAAGATAATTGATATTATACTAAAAGAATTCAATTTATTCAAATGTTAAGTTAATTCATAATAAAGAGCTCATATTTAATATTAGTTTTGATAATTATAAAATAAAAAAATAAAAATAAACTAAAATAAAAATAAATATTAATTACTTCACAAATTGATTAAAGCACACTCAACTTTTGTACAAGGTTAGTAGAAAATAATATAATTAAAGAAGCTGCTAACCTAAATTGACATGATAAAAAGATAGAAACAATAGTAAAAAAAATAGATTCTAAGAGTATAAAAGAAGGTTTGTAACCAGATCTATAAACAAGTCTAGAATATAAAATGTAAAAAGATCATAGAATTGAAACAAGTGTAAAGAATTAATAGAAAAGCAAAATACAAGAAGGCTCAGGAAGTAAGAAGACAAGATGCATCGCAAGAAAATTCTAATCACAAAATCACAAGATAAAGAGAAGATGAAAGAGAAAATAAAACAAAAATCTTATAGAAATTATAAGAAATGTGATTAAGTATAGAACAAAATGGTTGAATTTTGATCTTTATTAAAATTTTAAAAGATGATCTGCAGTAGTAATCTGTAGGTGATGAAGTTAGAAATTGAAGGATTTCTATCTGAACTACTAATATAGCGCTAAATCACTTTTAAAGTTACACTTAAAGTTTTGAATAAAAACTTTGATGAGTAAGTTAGTTAGAGATTTAGCTTTAGCATTACTTATATAATATATAGCCTATAACTGTTTAATAAAGTATACATAATTGATCTAATAGAGGGTTAAAAAAAAATAAGTATTAATTACTTGATTATTTAATATGAATTAAATAATTTTTTATTAATTTACTAAAATTGATAATAAAAATATTTTAAATAAAATATTTTAAAATCTTAATTGAAGTTTTTGATTCAATTAATATTTTTTTCACTGATTCTTTGATCATGTACAAAAAAGATATTTATAAGAAGTTTTTTCATTTCTTTACTAATAAAGTATTAATACTTTCCTTAAAATAACTTGCAGGTTGATTTTAAGAGTCATCTTTATTTTTTCTCTATTATTTATAAACCGTCTTTATCCAAAAACGTGATTTTTAGTGATTAAGAAAAATCAAGTAATACTTTTGATATCAATAACAAAAAAGTTTCTAAAGAAAAAAAAATTAATTATAAAGTATCTAAAGACTTTTTTAATATTTAAAATAGAAGATTTATAGAAATTTTATATAATAAAAACTTATTTTTTCTTTTTTTGACTATTTTGACTCTTATAAAACTCTATTTTCACAATTTTCTAAGAAATTTTATTTATTTTAGTTTGATTCTAAATTTTGAGTAATACAAATTCTCATTAAAGATAATTGATTAATATAAAATATGTTAATTTTTAGAATATAAATAATTTCTATTAGTTATACTCATGTATTTTGATAATATTATTGATGATTGAAAAAAATATTTTGAAAACAGTTATTTTAAAAGCTCAAGTTTTATAAGGAAAATATTCATAATATTAAAATATTAAAAGATAAGTAATATGGATCATAAACTCTTGTTTCTTTCTTATGTTCTTTAATAATGATAAAGTTTTTATGAATAAAAGCCAAGGTTTGAATACTTTCTTTGAGATATCCCAATCTGGTGCTCACTTAAATAAAGAATCAGTTGGATTGACTTGTTTAGTACTGCAAGTAATGATAAAGAAGATTTTTTCTAAAATTCAAGTAAAGTGAGAAGAATATTCCAATAGGTAATTCTTTTGAGAGAAAGATAGTTTTGGTTTTAATTTTTTTTAGTGAGACTTTAAATTATCTCTTATTTTTATTCATTAATCCCTTTTTCTTTTTAACTTAGCAATTCATGATTATCAGACAATCTATAGTGACAAACTGTTAGTAATGAATCTAGAGAATAGAAATGTTTATTAATTCTTTAGAAAAGTGAAATATTGTCTCCTAGATCTGATTTATAATACTTTAGTGTAATGATAATTAATCATTATATGAAAAAATCTGTAATATTATAGATAGTTATAAACTTTTCAATAAAGATTAAGCCATATAACATGGTTGTGGATTAAAAAAAAAAAAGTTTTTAATTCAATTAATAATAGAAATTCTTAAAAATTATCTTTATTATTTAGTGATAATTTTTATATTTTTCCAAAATAATAATAAGCCTATATATAAATTAAAACTAGTAAAGAATAAAAAAGAAATAAATTAATTCACGTTTTTCATGACTTAAGGTTTAAATCTTAATCCAATAGAAAATATATGGGATGTTTTAGAGAGAAGAGTTTATATATAATCAAAACATTTTAATTTCTTTGAAGAGAGAAATTTAATTAAATCCAGAGTTGTTGCTTATTAAGCAAATGACTATCCAACTAAATATTAATTTTTATATCGAATTTATTGTGATTAACGAGAATACTGCTTTAAAATTTGTTCACCTAGTGTAGTCTTGATTTATAATTTAATAATGCCGCGTCGCATTTTTCTCCTTATAGTACTTAATTTAGATAAGAGTCTATCCTGAGGCGTCCATTTCAT